CATGCATTCAGGGACAGGAATGATGGCATTTATATTCAAACCAGACTAAATGGAGGCTTGTTCAACATCGCAAAGTTTAGAGTTAAAACCAAGATGAAAGGACTGGTTCTGAGAGGTTTCCTGTTTGTTGATGATGCGGCCTTGGTTGTCCACAGTAAACCTTCCCTGCAAAATATCCTGGGCACATTTTCTAAATCATGCAAGAGCTTTGGGATGGCAATTTGTCTCATGAAGAAGACTGTTTGTATGGGCTAACAGTTTGCTGTTATTCCATGCACATTTCTGTAAAAGCCTGAAATTCTTATTTTTCTAATTCTGTCAGTCAATTCAGTCTGAAGGTCAAGATTCCTGTTGATCATAGAACCCAAATAGCAAAAACTGTCAATGGCACCAAGAGATTTATCCTCTAGAATAATGTTATGTATTGGTTTTTCACCCCTTGGTATATGATAACAGTCTTCTTCTTCTTCTATAAGACTTGTGTGCTGTCACTCCTGCTTTATGGTTCAGAAACATGGACTACATATGCTAGGCATCTGTGAAGGTGAAGTGAACGGCTTCCAAGTGAGATGTCTGCATAAGATTCTGAGAATAAAGTGGAAATACAAAATAGCAAACCCAGAGGTACTAGAGCGTGCAGGACTGACACTTAGAAACCACTATCAAGAAGGAAAGATTGCAATGGATTGGCCATGTCAGAAGAATGGGAGAAGACCATATCCCCAAAAATATTTTGTACAGTGAGATTTGAGACGGCTCTAGAAAGCAGCATTACCCTCAATGCCAGTACCATGATGCATGCAAAAATGACACAAAGTCATTCAATATCAATGTAGAAAGTTGGGAGGAGTGCACAGAATCCTGCCCGATAGGGAGGGAACATCTGGCACTCGGTACAGCTCAACATGATGCGGCTTTGACCCAGAGGATGGGAGCAAAACGAGAAAAAAGCAGCATGCTGTGAACTTCAACTCCAACTTATCCAACATACGGATCTGTGAAACTTGTAACAACCTGTGTCACTCTTGAATTGGGCTCATCAGCCACAAACAGATTCATCAGGCATCTGACTAGACCTCTTATGCGTACACCATGATCCAGAGGATCAATGGTTGCCTACTGAAATTACTGTTTCTACTTCTCTTCCAATTTTTCTAGTTCATCCATTCTGCTGTCCTCAAATAGCTGCTTTTATTGCTTTTAAGAGCTGTACAGGACCAACAAGAGGACATGGCTACATCTACAGCAGTGGTTGGAAAAACAAAGGTATAAGTATCTATCCTTTCAGTATGAAGCATATCTATCCTATGACTGAATTCATTATATGGCAGTTCCTTTCAAACTGCAGGTCTGCTAAAGCAAGTGTTCAGCATTATGCTGGCTTTGCCTAGTACTGGACAGAGAAACCAGACAGCTAGCTAAGCAAGCCCTGTGCTATAAAGTGTAACAGGCATAATGCAATTCTCAGCACCCTGAATCCTATAGTACTGGAGATAACAATTCCTCTCCCTCTTTGCTAATGTAAAAAATACAGTTTTGCTGACATCCATTTAGACCAGTGGTAGAGAGCTAAGGAAGGGACTGGAGCAGCAGAGCAAAGCCTCCCATGCAATCCCCAGACAGCAGGAATGGACTGGGGAATTGCTGTGCTGCTCCCTTGGCTCAACTACCAGCCACAAGGAGCTGAGTGGAGGGGCAGTGGTCTTTGTTCTCTACAGGCTCCTCAAACTGAGGTCCACCTCCCAGCCACAAGGAGCTGAGTGGAGGGGCAGTGGTCTTTGTTCTCTACAGGCTCCTCAAACTGAGGTCCCCACCAAAAACATTCACTTTTATGAGAGGTCAACTTGCTTCGGGGTCCCCAGTCTGAAGAATGGGTAGGGGCTTTGCCCGGTTGCTCCAGTCTCTTCCCAAGCTAGTCTACAGAAGGGAATTGGAGTACCCATTCCCCAAAGCTGGGTGTCCCCAATCTGGGGAAACATGGAGAGTCCTTCCCCATTCTTCCATCATCCTGGGAATGGGAGGAGTGGAGCTGCTCCCCACAGCTTCCCCAGAATTGGATCATGCAACCTGGGGAAGATGCAAGGGGCAGGGGCTGGGGGGCAGTTGCAAGCTGGCCTGTACAACTCCCTTGACCAGAACATTTCTAGTCGTAGAAATTACTGAGAAATGAAAACCTGTTCCTCACTAGGATAAACAATGTATTGCCTGCTTTAGTTTCAACTTACACTTACTTTTTAATTATTTTCCCAAAGCAGGTTCTCCAACTCCAAAAATAAATAATAAATCAAAATAAAAAAGTTGTGAAATATGAATTAATTCAGGATTTTAAAACGATTCAGACAAATTAAGAATGAAGAATTTAAATTTATTTAAAATATCTTATCAGGAAATATTTCAACATATAGGATTTTGAAAGTCCTCTACTTTTTTACTTCAACATAAGCTACATTTACACTACAATGACTGAGATAGTTATAGTCTTGTACTTCCCTGAGTCAAAGCCAATCTCACCTCCAAGGACCATTCCAGCTTGACAGCACTTCCTCAAGCGGCATGCTGGACAGTTCTTCCTACGGATTTTATCAACTATGCAGTCATTCCTTCCAGCACATAAATAGTTATGCTGCCCTGCAAAAAAGAACAACCTGGAATTAACACAAAGTTTTTGAGTTTTTCAAAGCTATTCATATGTATAGACATCCAAAAATGAAAGATAATTGAAACCAAAGTCTGACTGTCATGATGAAAGAATCAAGAGAGATTTTTGAAGTTATATATTAGGCATTAATACCTGACGCAGTTTTACTATAGTAATATTTTGGTATTATTCTTTAGTAATATTCATTAGTCTTTTGTCATTCCAAAATAGGTCAAGGACAGTATGTATTGCTCAAATTGTCATACAATCAACATTTCAATCGCATAACAGAGCAAAAATGGTGATTATTCCTTTCATGCCTTTTCTTGGATCTTTTTTTTCCTTTTAAAATGCTGCTTCCTACTTAAAGGATTATTAAGGACATTTTCCCAGAAGGCTTCGGGGGCCAGACTTAGGGCCCTCAATTCTAGCTAAAAGTCAAACAGTTTGGGGGCACATAGCATCTCTCAGGACTCAGTCATTCTAGAATGCTTTATCCGCTCTACAATCCCTCACACTACACATGGGAAATGCCTATGCTACCTTGAATGCTGCTTGCTACCCTCCAAGTTCAGAACAGAGAGGAATAACAAACTATTATACACAGTAGTCTTAATGTGCAAAAGAAAATGTATACATTTTCCATAAAAACTTCTCTCTCACTCCCTTGTCTTTTGCATTCTAATTTCTCTCTTTTTATACATGTCTTTTCACAGCATCTGATGAAGTCAGCTTCAGTTCATGACAGCTTGTGCTATAGATCTACTTCAGTTAGTCTTTAAGGTGCAATCTAACTGGCCTTCAACTAGAACAACAACAAGGGACTCTTGAAGTTTAAAGGGAATACATAAACAAAAGAGGCTATTAGCTTTTATTGATCTTCGTTATTTATTTGGCATGGTGTTTTAACTTCTGATATCGTAGTATTTAGGAATCTCTTTATCTTTAGAGCAACTTACCCTCATAATATCTTTGTTAAGGGAAGACCAAGTGAGTGCTACCAGTTGACCCAAAAAATCTGTAGCAGAGCAGGAATTGAACCTGGGTACTTCAAGGTTGCTCTATGTTAGTGAAACCAAGGTGCCGTCTCTAAAGCAAGCATTATTCTACACCATGGGACCATCCTTATACTTTCTTTTTATATCTGTTAGTTATTCCAAGAAAGTGTAGCTTTTCAAGTTATTTAGGTCCCTCCACCCTCAAGGAAAGGAAGTGCTGAAGAGCACAGGCAAAAATCAGAAATGGGCACTTAAAACAGATTTAGGCTCAATCCAGCCTGGTGGCAAATGCACCAGCAGCTCTGGCTAGGCCCTGGAGTTGGGGCCACAGCTGCCACCACCACTGCTGCTATTGGCCTGGGCCAGGCTAGTCCAGAGCAGGAGCCAGAGCAAGCACGTGTTCTGTGCCCCAGGCTGGAGTGGGGCTGCCACCTGACAGAGCCAGAGCAAGGGTAAGCGGGGGGGGAGAGGAGGGGAAGAAGACAGGAGAAAAGGGCACAGCATGCCCAAGGCTGTGGGAAAGAGGGCAGAGGCCAGGGTGGAGTGGGGAAGAGGGGATAAGGAGGCAAGGTGTGAGGTGGGAAGGGGCACGGGTCAAGCTACTTCCCCCCAGCCGCCCCAAACTACATCTCCTA